GGTTCAGGATCGTCAGGACGCAACAGTCACATATATTCTCGGCGTTGGAGTCCCAGGAACGTGTTCTGGCACGACGTAGGATTCTCAGACGTTTGTTTTTCACTCGGGCACTTCCAGCAAGTGAATATGTTCATGTAGGGAATTATGAAGAGGGAGCTTGGAGGGAGGCTTTCTTGCAACATCGTTGATCTGTCTTGGGTTTGCACTGTTCCTTCTTCTTTGTTCTCCTTCTCCTCCTCCTCCTCCTCCCCTTTTCCCCCTCCAGCTCCTCCTCCCTGTCCCCCTCACTCCCTCTGGCTCCTCGTCCCTCCTTCCCCTCCCGCTTTTCCTTGCCCTCTCGCTCTTCCTCCTCCTCCTCCTCTCCCCTTCGTCCTCGATCTCGTCGTCCTCCTTCCGCTTCTCCTCAGGGCGAGTAGAGGCGGGGCACCGATGATGACGCTGATGGCGATGGCGATGGCGATGGCGAGGGCGATAGCGATGGCGATGTCGATTGCGAGGGCGATGGCGAGGGCGATAGCGATGGACGATGATGATGATGCTGATGATGATGATGCTGTTGGTGCTGATGCTGATTGATGGTTGACGATGGATGGTTTATGGTGATGATGGTGGTGGTGATGATGATGACGATGACGATGCTGATGATGACGACCACGATGACGATGACGATGACGATGCTGATGATGATGCTGATGATGATTATGATGATTTTGATGGTGGTGGTGGTGATGAAGATGATGCTGATGTTGATGCTGATGCTGCTGATGATTTTGATGATGGTGATGGTGGTGCTGGCGATAGCGTTGGTGGTGACGATGTCGATCACAATTGTGACGACAATGACGATGACGATTGATGCTGATGACGAAAATGACGATGATGACGCTTCTGGTGACGAGGGCGATGTGACGATGATGCCGATGAAAAGGCGTTGATGATGATGGTGTTGGTGGTGTTGCTGCTGACGACGACGATGATGACGATGACGCCGATGATGATGCTGATGATGATGACGACGATGATGATGGTAGTGATGGTGATGATGACGACGATGCTGATGATGAAGATGACGATGACGATGACCATGCCGATGACGATGATGATAATGATGATGATGGTGGTGATGATGAGGATGAGGATGAGGATGATGCTGATCATCACGACGACGACGATGCCGACGATGATGCTAATGCTGATGCTGATGCTGACGCTGAAGCTAATGCTGATGATGATGCTGATGATGCTGCTGCTGATGATGGTGGTGCTGATGATCATGATGATGGCGACGAAGACGCTGCTGCTGATGCTGCTGATGATGATGTTGATGATGCTGATCATGATGATGATGATGACGATGCTGATCATGACGATGATGATTATGCTGATGCGGATGGTGATGCTGATGATGATGGTGATGATCATTCTGATGATGACTACGACGATGACGATGGCGACGATGACGATGCTGCTGATGATGATGACGATACTGTTGATGCTAGTGATGCTGATGCTGATGATGATGATGCTGATGATGATGGTGATGATGATGAGGATGCTGATGACAATGATGTTGCCAATGATGCTGATGATGCTGATGATGATGATGATGATGCTGATGCTCATGACGATGATGACGATGCTGCTGATGATGTTGCTGACGATGCTGATGGTGATGATGAGGATGGCGATCGGCGGTGACGATGGTTATGTGTATGACGAGTATGGTGACGACGGCGAGGATAACGAGAATGAGCATGATGATGTATGATGTATGATGATGATGATGATGATGATGATGAGGATGAGGATGTGAATGCGAAAGTGATGATGATGCTGCTGCTGATGATGATGATTATGATGATGCTTATGATGATGCTGATGCGGGTGCTGACGATGCTGATGCTGACGATTATGCTAATGCTGATGATGATGTTACTGATGCTGCTGCTGATGATGCTGATGCTGACGATAACGATGATGATGATGCTGATGCTGATGCTGATGCTGATGATGATGACGATGAGGATGACGATGATGGTGATGGTGATGGTGATGGTGATTGTGATGATGCTGGTGATGATGATGATGATGATGATGATGATGATGATGACGAGCAGGATGATGATGGTAATGATGATGATGATGATGATGATGATGATGATGATGATGATGATGATGATGAGGAGGATGATGAGGATGATGATGATGATGTTGATGACGCTGATGATGATCATGCTGATGCTGCTGCTGATGATGGTTTCGATGATGCTGATAATGATGATGATACCGATGGAGCAGGGAGCGCAGCTGTGAAGAGGCTCACGAAGGAGGGAGGTCGCTCTGAAAACCGCAGCGGTGTTAGCACCAGCCTCCCTGAGATGGGAGATCCTGGAAGCCCTGGCCATGGCGGCCAACAACCGGGTGTGTTGCGTAGTGACTCGCCTCCTAGATTTGTCGGTGGTGCCCCCCCCAAGTCTCTGTGGACCTGGATCCGACGAGGCAAGGATGCCAGCTTTCTGCCACGAGATAGAGAGGTCTGTCTTCTGAACGTCCTTGGCAATACCGTTGACGGGGGTCGCCAACTCTCGGGTCATGACGGGCCATCCTACTGTGTGGAAAGACACGTCGCCTATCATATTTGGTAGGCGCACCACTCGAAACTGGGATGCTGTGGATCTGATCACTCCCACAAGAAAAAGTCGCGCCAGGGTGGTTGCACACGAGCGTCCTGCTATCGTCGTACCGTTTGGGAAAATCATCCTGCTGATGTCCCCTGCCAGGAAACCACACAGGAGGAGGAAGAGGGGAGCAAGATGAGGAGGATGAGGATGATGAGGATGAGGATGAGGATGATGATGATGATGAGGAGGAGGAGGAAGAGGAGGAGGTGGAGCAGGAGGAGGAGGAGGAGGAGGAAATAGGGAGTACGTGTCGATGGCGAAGAAGAGGGAGAGGAGCAGGATCAGGGCAGCGTGGCGACGGAATCAGGAGAAGAGGAGGGAGGCGGGAGGAGGATGAGGGGGACGTGGAGCAGAATGACGCCCTCTCCGATTCTTTTTCCGTGGCCCGTTTCTTGTGGTCGATCATGTTTTTCGGTATGCTGCATTGCTACCTCCACTCTATGAATGTGCCATTTTTCGGGCGTTGAAATCTGTACATCTCCTCTGCTCCCTGGGCAGGCCAATCATACACCCAGGAGCTGTGTATACGCCCTCCTGGCCCAGCCAGGAGAGCGTCGCGCATACACCGCTGCTGGGTTCAGAAAAGGCCTGACCAGGGAGCAGTGGATTATGTATAGATTTCGTCGCTCCAACTCTGTTTTTTTCCCATCTCGTTGTCCACGGGGTCGGGCCCGCGGCACACTTGTGATAGCGCTTGGGATGCCATCCCGGCGCGCGGTCGCCGCCCGTCTGCGACGGGGTGGCACGGCGAGTTTTCCACCGCCGCCCGGGTTTCCACCTCCACCTCCGCCGTCGTCGGCGTCCAGGCCTCCTAGGTGGGGTCGGTGTAGACGGGGTTGGAGGATCGCGCCGCATCGCCGATGCATCGCCGATGCATCGCCGAGGCATCGCCGATGCGGCTCGATGTGGAGCCCGATTTGCTTCACGTCGACGACGCCGATGCATCGCCCACGTCGACGATACATCGCCAGTGCATCGCCGATGCATCGCCGATGCATCGCTGATGTATCGGCGATGCGGCGCGATCCTCCGACCGCATCTACTCCGACCCCATCTAGGAGGCCTCTAGCACGGCGAGTTTTCCACCGCCGCCCGGGTTTCCACTTCCGCCTCCGTCGTCGTCGGCGACTACAGAGGGTGTGGTTACGCCAGGGTGTGGTTTGCGATCGGCGCCGTTGGGGCCTGGGGGGCACGACGCTGTCCTCGTCGGGCCTCCCCGGTCCGCGGCGGAGGACTCTACCGAGGTTCCCGCTCGCCCCCCAGGGTGCCCCCCAGGGTGCTGGTTGCAAACCACACCCTTTGCAAACCACACCCTTCGGAGTTGCCGACGTTGGCACGGGTCAGGCGAAAGGGGGGATCGTGAAAGGGGGGCACGAACTCTGCTGCATGCAGCTGGCTTTGGCTCCGCGTGGCGCTTTCATTGATAAATTTACGCCTCCAGCGCTGGGTGGCGCTGGGAAAACCAGCTGCGTGAGCTGATTCGCTAACCACTTTTGCCGTCCCCCCTTTTCGTGGGCGAAGCACATTTCCGTATCCGCGGCCTCGCGGACTGGGCCCCTGGGCCGCGACCCTGCGGATACGGAGCGTTTTTGCGCGGATGCCCCGCGCGGAACAGGTCCGTGCGACTGCGCACCCGCGGGGTCGCGCCCTGGAACCCAGACCGCGAGGGTATGCAGATGTTCGCCGCTCGTGGCCTTGCGCCCAGCCAGATGGTCGCCGCCGCAGCCGCTGGCAGGGGTCTCAGCGGCGGCGGCGCTCCCGTGGACGGGACCCCGGCCGGTGGCCGCGATCCCCCACAACAAGTGGTGCGCCCGCTCTGGCCCGAGAGCAGCGTGCGCGCGCTGTTTTCGCGCGCTGGGCGCCCCTGCTGGCTGTGCCGCTGCCGCTGTTGCTGCCGCTGATCCTCAGCCACGCGCAGAGGGGAGAGGGGGGAAGGCTTCTTAGAAGCACCCCTGCTTCTTGGAAGGCTCATGCCTCGTCTGTAGATGTAGTTAACAATGCCCGCGCCTTCTAAGAAGCAGCCTCCTTCTAAGAATCCTTCCCCCCTCCCCCTACCCCCCTGTGCGCCCGCCAAGATTCTGCTGCTGCTGCTGCTGCTGCTGCTGCTGCTGCTATTGCTCCCCTACTGCTCCCCAGCGACGAAACCTGGACCCTCGCCGATCAACGACTCCAGCAACTCGATGGGCGGGGGGGTAGGGTTGGGGCTTCGTCGAACACGTCGTCGTGCTCGGCGTGCTTCTCGTCGTGCTTCTCGTCGTCGTCGTCGTCGTCGCCGTCGTCAGCGGCGGCTGCGTCGGCGCCGCCGTCGGCGTGCCCGAGCCCGGCGGGCTGTCGCGGGGATGGTGCTCGGCGCGCCCGCGGGGCCCACCTGGGGCCGCCTGGCCGACCAGGCGCGTGCGGGCGCGCGCGCCCTGAGTGCGCGGGCAGTGCTCCCCCCCAGGCCCCCTCGCGTCGTGCAAACACCTCGACGGATTTGTTGTTTGTTTTTTGCTGTTGCTATTTTGGAGCCTCTGGGGGCCCTTGCGGGGCCGCGGGGCAGTGGTGGTCGTGGCGGACAAGAGTGTGGGTGCGTCGTCGAGGTGGTGGTCGCGAAGGTGGTCGTGCTTCGTCACAGGGTGATTGTGGTGGTCGTCGTTGTGGTGGTCATGGTAATTGTGGGAAATGGTCGTGGTGGTCTTCGTGCTAGTGGTGGTCGTGGTGGTCGTGGTGGTTTTCGTGCTGGTGGTCGGGGCTGCTGGGCTGGCGCCCGAGCACGCTCAGCAGTATCTCAGCATCGCCCCTCCCTCCCTCCCTCCCCTCTTCTCCCAGCCCTCCCCTGCACCTCCTCTTTTTTGGCAGCAGCGCCTAGGCCTCAGAACTCCCCGTAATCACGACCCCGCCAGAAGATTACGTACAAGAAGGGGAACACGTAGAGCATCGAGCGAGGTACCTCCAACCACAACACACACACATTCATGATGAGTTTGATGAGTTTGAGCTCCCAGCCCATGAAGCACAGCGCGACTTGATCTCCACGACAGCCGCATACAGTGTATGACCATAGCACCAGGAAGCATCGGATGGAGAACACCTAATGCCAAAGACGAGCTGCAACCCCATAGGCCAAAAACGAAATTTTGTAGAATGACGACCACGTGCTGAAATCTCCAGGCGTGCGCTAGAATGGGGAGCAATGGCCATCTGGGATAAGCCAAAGTACATTGGCTTCGTCTTGGGCCCTGTTGCTAAGGAGGACTCGTGGAATGCCCCCTTGGACAAGATGCTGGATGGTGCGGCTACCTGGGGCAAGATCGGTCCAGGCCTTTTTCGCACTTGTGCGGCCTACCGCGTATTCGCGGCCTCGGTGGTCATGCTCGTAGCGCAACTTCGGCCTTTACCTGCCCGCTCGACGAGGTGGAGCGGTGGGTCTGCGTCAAGCTCTTTCCAGGCCCTCGTGCGTGGACGATCTCAGACCTCATGACACAGCTCCTCTGCACTGGATTTCTATGCGAGTTGATGGACGTACGTTGTGCGACAGTTGCGGCCCAGGCTCCTGTGTGCCACTTCGAGGCGTCTAAACAGGGTGGGCTGCAGGTGCGTGCGAGAGCACGCCGGCTCAGCCAGCGGCTCCAGAGCGATGGGCGCCAATTCTATTTGGAGGCTTTCGGGGCGTGGCTGGCGAGAAACACGTTGTTTGTCCTGGGGGCTTCGGCAGACCGCATCGACGGGGAGGAACGTCAACGTGGCCTACGGCTTACGCGTTGGCTCCCGACTGAGAACCGGCTATCCCTCAAGGCAGGCTGGCAAGCGAGCTGGTGCCAATTTTCGATGGCAGCGCGCCCGCCGACCAATGTAGACGCATTTCTTCGGAGGCGGGTTCACCATTGGAGCATTGGCCTTGCGCCGGTCTGCTGGGTGCCGCGTGCTTGTCCGCTTACCTGGCCCTTCTCAATCAGAGTGTCCCGCCATGCTTCATGGCAGCGGCATTGCGCACAGCATGCGTCGGCTGGCTCGCGTTTTTAACAACGGTCTCATTAGGCGTTCGGTTGCGGTGGAGGTTTCGACTGCGTTCGGCATTGCGCACATGGAGCTGTATCATCGCTGGTGCGAGGAGGCGTGTGTCCTCGAATCGCCGCCTGCGCAAGCGTGCCTAGCACATTTTCTTGGATTGCACGCGCCAGTGGGGCTGGAAGCCGCGCCCGTGCCGCGCGCAAGAGGCGAGATGCGCCTGTTGAGAGCGGTTTACATCTATGCCTTCCACTGGACGCGCCTCTCCCTGCGGCCCTGAAGCCGTACCTCGGCTTGACGCGGGGCGTCTTTTCAAGGCCGCCGTGCGCGAGGCTTGCGCCCGGGAGCCTCTCAGCGGGCTGCTCGCCAGGTCTCGGCGCAGGTGGCCAGGCGCCTAGGCGCATCGCGCCTCTCCGACTTCTTCTTTCTCCTGCTCCCCTCTTCTAGATGTTCGTTGCTTGGGTGCTGTCGCAACTATCGTTGCCACTCTGGTCTCGCGTCGTAGTTATGTTCGCTTCGCGTGGGAGCGTGGCCCTTCAGATTTCCCGTTCAATGCCTTCGGGCCCCCTTCAGTGGGTGAAGTGTAAGATATATTGTTCCAGTGATTCGTTGATGGTGCCGCTTTCAGTTTTCCTCCAACTCTTCCTCCCCTCTTCTTCCTCTCCTTTGCTTCCTCCCTTTCCCCCTTTGAAGTTCCGTGGTGCGCTTTTGAATTGCATATGCGGCCGTTTGGGCCGCAGGGTATATCCGCGCATCGCTCTCGCCCCTTCTTTTCCTCCTCCTCCTCCCTGCCTGCCTGCCGCTTCTTCCTCAGGAATGGACGGGTGCGCGGTGTGAAAAAACGCGCTGCCTTGTCAAGTTAAGGTGGTCGCGGATCGAGGGCGTTACAAGGAAAAGTAAAGTAATGACGACCACGTAAGCTAAGCAGAATATATCCAATCAGCGTCGGACATCTCGTTACCGTCCCAGCTTCCATGGAGACGCAGACGACGCAGACGAATCCCCGAATGAGGTTGAACGGATGCCTCCGAACAGCATGCCTTCCCCAGGATCACGTCGAATATTCATCGTGCGCACGGTGATCACTTGCAGCAGCCTCAGCCTGACCACCGCCGCCTTCAGAGGTAGCAGCCGTGGGTAGGTGGGTCCACACGGCAGGGTCCTGAGCAGCAGCGGCCTCCAGTTTGTCAGCAGCCTCGCACACGTTGCTCTGCACCGCATAGGCCCCAACGACACCGCACGGTGCGCAGCGCGCCCTCCACCAACTCTTGGGCGGCCTTTGCGCTGTCGAAGACGGGCGGCGCGCAGGGGACGAAAACCTCCGCTTCGGGATTCAGCTGGGACTGCTGAGGCACAGCATACTCACGACGACCCTCCAGGTGGTCAAACTTTTTTGGAGAATCCGAACAGCGGCGTGAGACGCGGTGGACATACTCGCTGGCCGCTCTGCGATTGTTCGGGAGTTTCTGTATATAGGAGGGGCGTGCGCTTCTCGGCGAGAGGAAAATGATCGATTCGTCGCCGGATCCGCCGGATGTCCCGAAGCTCGCCGTAAACGGAACAGGGCACCTTTGGGGGCCTCCTTGGGGAAGCTCTGGGTGCTGGTTGTTCTGAGGATGTCCCATGCGAGGGCGCCGGTTTGGAATTCGTCCCCGCATTCGCCGGATTTCCCGGATCTCGCCAGAAACGGAACACCTTGGGGAGGCTCCAGGGGCCGGTTTCTCTTGGGCATGCCAGTTTGGAATTCGTCGCCGGATTCGCCAGATTTCCCAGATCTCGCCAGAAACAGAACAGGGGGGCCTTTGAGAGCCTTCTTGGAGAGGCTCTGGGGGCCGGTTCTTCTGAGCATGTCCCACGCGAGGGCGCCAGTTTGGAATTCGTCGCCAGATGATTCTCGGGATTTTCCGGATCTCGCCAGAAACGGGACAGGGGTCTTTTGCCTCCTTGGGGTGGCTTCTGAGGATGTCCCACGCGAGGGCGCCGGTTTGGAATTCGTCGCCAGATTCGCGGTGAGGGTATCCTTGGGGAGGCTGCGGGATCCGGTTTTTCCGAGGATGTCCCACGCGAGGGCGCCGGTTTGGAATTCGTCGCCGGATTCTCCTGATTTTCCGGATCTCGCCGGAAACGGAAGATGGGGCGGTCGGCGGGGCCATCTTCTCGCGCGCCTGGGGTTAGGATGACATGAGTTCCACAGAAACTCCCTCAAATTACAGCCCTTCGCATCCGAATGGGGTGCGACGTTCCGACGTAGCACAGCTTCGTGATCAGGTGAATGACCATGGAGGAAGCGGTCCGCGAGCTCGACGTCCCCGAACACCTCCTCCAGGCAGCCGTGCAGAGCCTGCAGAGCGTGCAGTTGACCAGATAGGCGGCGGCGGACGGCGCCGTCTGCCAACAACCTGGCCTGCTCGCGAGCAAGTTTCCGAGACTGGGCAGAACGATGCGTTGGGCGCGCACACACGCCCTCCCGATCCATCTCAATGATCTCTAAACCTCCCGCAGCGCCGCCTCCCCAATACCAGCCATGCGGGATGTGGAAATGGCAAGCTGGGGCCTTTGGGACTGGCTTGAACCCAAATCGCTGCGGGGCCTCCTCCTCCTCATCCCTCCTCCTCCTCCTCCTCCCTCCTCCTCTCCTCCCTGCTCCCTCCTCCCTCCTCCCTCCTCCCTCCTCCAGCCGCCGCCCCGGCTCGAGGCTTTGGGAGTCCCTTACCAGGAGCCTCGCGGGTCGGCCGCCATACGTGCCAGCCAGTCGGGCAATCGGGTGCCCACACCTGGCAGGCCGTGCAGCCGCCATCTCGTGGCCAGCGCCACGGCTCGGCGGCATCTCCGCGAACCAGCTTGGCATCGGTGTGCTCGTGAGCGCCGCAGCCAGGCACGCACAGTCTTGCACCTTGCGGCAGCCAGGCAGACGTTGTTCTTTCATCACAGCAGCCAGCGGATGTCGGCAGCGCCATGGCACACACGCAAAGGGCAGTGGTTCTGCTCGTTTTGTGGTTCCTCGCATCCTGCGTCTACTGCCTGGTGCACCAAGTGCTACGCCAAGGGTCAAGGATCGAGACGCAGAGGCCGCTCTACTTCTCGCGCCCCCTCTCGCTCCAGCCAGGGAGAGTCGACTCCCGCCGCCGCCACGGGCTCGAACGAGGAGAAGAAGCTCAACACTCAGATGAAGAAGAGAGTGGCCAACTTAGCGGAGGCCAGAGCTCACCCTGCGTGGGTAGAGCCGCCAGCGCTATCAGTGGACAGAGAAGCTCATCGTGCCCATATGAAGTCAGCTATGCAGGCGCTGGAGCAACAAATTCAGGCCCAAGAAGCTATCGCGACGACGCCGTCGCCGATGCTCGAAGCCAAGCGCCAAGAGCTCGCAGTGTTCCAGTTCATGCACCTGTACGCGTTCTTGCCG